AAATAAACTTCGCGAACATCTTTAGTTGCAGCGCCTACTGTTTTTCCTTTGCGGAATTCGTATAACATAATATGACGCATATGATCTTTTTCGTTGTCCATCTTCCATGCGTCTGTTCACTAAGCAACTCAAATCAAAATAAAGTTATTTGAAGCTTGATTTACAGTTCGGGATGTCACCTTTCCAACGATATATAATCTGTATATATTTCTTTCACGAGCGCCACTCTCAAACGATTCGAACGGCATCCAGCGGAAACGGGCACGAACTTATGCACTCATCCAATATATGATATATAATTTTTAATAAAAAAAGCATCTGGAATGGATTTAATATCTTTTTGAAAATAAGCACAAATTTCTTCAGGTAATGTAAAAGGTATTTGAATGAACTCCCCAAATGCGAGTTTATGTATGTACATACATGTATTATTTTGTTTAAAGTATTTAATTTTGTTAAAAATATCTAGAAGAATGTTTACAATGAAAAAAATAAATTTTTTTTTCGTCTTGCAATATAGTTAAACAATGTATGTACGTATGTATGTATAATGTTGTTATATAATCATACACAGATACATGTTTATGTAAATATTTCCATATATTTATGTATGTATGTATTTACAGTTATATAGGCGTATAAAAGGATACATAAGACATAAGCATATGTGCGTTGTACGCGAGGAAAACATTTGAACATTGACACGCTACGTGACCTGGAAATTAAGTCGCGTCAACGTTGTGCTTTCTTCCTTACTTCCACCTCACCACCTCACTTAGCCGTCAACTCTCAGATAGCGACTTGATGGCACGTCGTTATAAATTTGCAGTTTGAAATGGTTGTAAACAAAAAATGACAAAAGTATCCAAAACAAGAAAAAAGGAAGAAAGAAAAAAAAAAGTGTAGCTAAATCAAGTGATTGATTGCGTGTAAGTGAAAACAAACAAAAAACATGAAAATCAAAACAAGAATAAAGAGCAAATATTTCACACACACACATGCGCTTGGAACATTATATTTTGGGTAAAAATATCTATAGTTTCTTAAACGGGTTTTATTGGCGGTCAATTGGGTTTGAATCGGCTCTTTTAGCTACGAGAGGAAACTACAAACGTTTGCAAAGGAGACCCTTCCTCGCTTTTGAAATAAAAGTTTTTTTGGCAACTTCTTAAATATTAATTTGCTCTTAAATTATTTTTAATTCAACTAAAATTATTATTTATCAAAGATTTCATTTTTTTAAATCAAACATAGCCTTTCGGCTCTGAAAAATTTCTCAAATGTTTTGTATTCACTTACAAAGCAGTCAGCAAGATCTGAGAACCAACAAAAAAACCTCATTTATTATTTGGATATGTACAAATTAATGGAACAGTCTCACTTCGTGTACATATTCTAATCTGATTCGATTACTAAAAATTGTGCATAATGAATTCCTTTCGCCTGGTCGCCCTGCCATCAGCACGGAATATTATTTGAATGTTGTGCGTCGTTGCAAAAACAGGTCGCATTTCCTATTGCCACTGTTAACGGTGAAGTAAATTTTTTTACTTTTTTTAACGCCCGAAATTGAGTTTGGTATTCTGGCGAACTGGTTACAATGTTTGTAAAAAAAAAAAAACATTGGCAATAACATTTGTAAGTTGGTAGAGTAAAAATAAGAATATTCATTTATATATTGGCATTTCATTGGTGTTAGGAAGCAAGTTTTCTCGGCTTTTACTTAGAGAATCAAATTTTAAATATAGTGCAGTGTTTCGGAAACAGAAGATCGGATCATTGCAGTTAGACCTATGAAAATTAACATCTACTCACTCCCTTGTCATTTGGTGCCAATTCGTTTATAAGGTCTAAAGAATTGTTTTGTTGGGGCGAAAATACTGAGTGATAAATTAAAATGGTACATTTTTTTCTCGCCAACTTCCTAAAAGGCGCCTTCTTGTCCCTTTTTCTTCATCTTTAATTAATTCTAAAAATAAAATATGTCTATACATTTCGGTTTTTCCTATTTTCAAAAATTAACAGCACAAACTCGAACAGCTGATTGTTTGTTTCCTCCTCTTTCGCTGGTAACAAAATTTACAGGGTGGCAGTGAGCTCAGAATACGAAATAGTAACAAAATTTACTGAGTGGTAAATTTTAATACCAAAGTAAGTTTTGTTACCTCGAGAGAATAGGCCTGATAAACTTACTTTTTTACCCTACATTAATGCATCATTTCACTCTACATTGATTCATCGAGGATTTTCGCCAAGAACTCAATTCTTAATGTTCCACAAGCAGCGTTTTTGTTTAATCTAGCTGACCTTTGGCTAAACAACAAGCCTAAAAGCCACCCAGGGGAACCGTTTTGAGCCGAATTAGGAGGTTCAATGAGTATCGCCAGTTCGGCCAATGAATTAATCATGTTTCGAGAATTGAAAAAAAGGTGGGGGATTACCCTGATAGCGACGAAATATATTCAGAAAATCAATGTATATCTAGAAGGAAATACTAAAAGTCACCAAAACTGTCCATCAACCGACTGAAGACTATATTCTTAACCATTTGTGACATACCAACTCAATTTTTTGTTTATATGTAAATAAAAATTTGTTGAAAATATTTGGGACATCTTTTTCTGTTAGTAGTACGTACATGCATAAATACAAATGCATTCATTTATACGTTTGAGGAGGTGTAGCTTTTATTGGCAAATGGTGCTTTTGGCTACACTTTCACATTATTTCTTTTTCCTATTCCTAGCAAGAAGAAGAGTGGAACAAATTGAGATTATAGTCTTTCAAATTCACTGAAGAACAAAATTTATATTTAGTTTAAAGATAAAAATACAATCCCAGCTTCAATATCTTATGGCATACAGATCACCTTAAGAATGTTCTTCCATGAAAAAGTAAACTGAAATCATTTTATGTTTTCAATGATTTTTTTACGGTCGCGTATCTCGGAAAATACTTTACATTTTCAAATGTTCAAAATATTAGCATTTTATAAGAATATCTTTTTAATTGTACTATAGAAAAAAGACTGATAATGACTGAGTGATCAATTTTGACTATAAGTACACAAAAATGTTTGAAAATCGGGGAAAGAGTAACAATTTATCAGTCATGATGTTCTCTATTTATTTAACGAATAATTTTTCAATGATTTCCATCACACTATTTCTGCTATTCAATTAAAATAAGTTATGCAATTTCAAATAAGATTTTACCACAGAATGAATTTTATAATAATTTTTTTAGTTTACACTCTTAGTTTTACAAAGATGTTTAATAAATATTTACATACATAAATTTCACACGCTGTATTAAAACAAGTCCAGATTTTATAGTGTAGTAAATCCTTTGCTATTTTAAATTTATATTAGATTAAATTTGATAAAAAATATAAAAACGCAATTTCTCGAAATTAGCTACTTTTTCAAGTGAATGTAAATTATTTGTTTATTTAATTAAATTAATTACATCATTGTGAGCAAAAAATATTGTATAAATATTTTTTTAAGCCCAAGTTCCTATAAAAATCTTGTTGTTTCAAGCAAATTTTTTTTCTTTAAGAAAAAATATTTATAAATTAAAGTTTATATATGTAGATAAGTAGACGTATAAGAATATTAATTGAATTTTTTTTAAATGGCAGCTCTTAAAATTTCTGCTTAAACACGTCCAGTGACACGATAACTGTAAATCGACTCATCTGAAGGCAAAAATTAAAACAGTTTCTAATTCTGTATCACATTGGCTATGGCCGGAACTACAATAAAACATTTTCACCAAAAAAAAAACTAACTGTTTAGAAATTTTTGGAAATAATAATGAATATTTTTGGTTTTAGTTTCAGCCATAGAGAGACATTTTAAGAGTAAAATACTCTTTAGTTCATATTGATAAGTTCAATTGGTTCTAAATTGAAAAAACAGGGTTTCATGTAAGGATTTACCGATTGGCGCATTCCGCCTCTCCTATTCTACACTTACTTCTTGGTCTTACGGGCCTTCAGGACTAAGTCTATACTATTACTAAGAGTACTTTCTAGCAATTTACAGGTAAAAATGTCTTTTTTGAAAAGTTCTTAGAGGAACCTGACCTTAATCAGCAGATGCCATAATCAAGTATTTTTGGTGTTAAAATTTTACGAGCTAAACATCATTTATTTATTCTCTAAATTCCTTTTTTTGCTCCCAGTAATAGCGTAATAGAAATTAATGCTCAGAAAGTAATTATTATCAACTGAACCAAATTATAAACGTCATAAGAAATCACCACAGATCTTAAAATAATACGCAAATGGTAACATTTTGTTGCAATACTTTTTTCCTTAGGGGCTGAGTTTTCATTGAAAACAAAAATCTAGACAATCAGTAATTACGGTCTGTGTTTTTAATTGAAAGTGGTTTAAATATTTCCATATATATGCTGTATACTTATCTTATTTGATTTACTGGAAACTGTAATTAGTATTTGTCGACAGAAAAAAGATGCCACCTAAATGAATAATAATTTAAAAATTTATTTTTGTAATTATTTATACTTTATGTAGGTATATATATATATATATGCAAGTATATGCAAAATATTCTTTATTAAAATATTCATTAAAAATCCATATGATTTAGTTTTTCCAATATTTATACCACAATAATTGCAATTCAAGTTATTCGCTGAAAGAATGGAATAATGTAATTATTAAATAATTGCAAAAAATGAGCTCTCATGGCTGAGTTTTAATAACAGCCTTACAGTTGCACGCTAAACTTGCCTGTATGTAGACATCCGTATGTGTGTATGTGGTAATCTCTTGAGTATTTTTTTTTACCAGCCGCTCAATGCTTTCGTTGTCACTGTGGCACAATTTCGGCAGACTACTTAGCATAATTTTAGGCTTTTACTTAGCACTGTAATGTAAATGTATAAATATGTATGTAAGCATCATACTTGGCACAAGCTGCAAAGAGCTAATGCATTTGCATTCACTTCTCTTATCTTGTTCGTTGCAGTACAATTACCTGATGGAGTTTGATTACCTGCCTAAGTCGGACATCGAGACAGGAGCGCTGCGGAGCGAAGAGCAGTTGAAGGATGCCATTCGAAATCTGCAGGTATGTACTAAACTCATATAAATACAATACACAGATATTCATGCATCACCACATCTGCTGCATTGTAAAAAAAAAAGAAACTGCTACTGTTGTTGCGAGCACTGTACTTATGTTTAAGCATATCCTGTTTTATTGCAGCGCTTTGGCAACATTCCGGCCACCGGCGAAATCGACGAGGCCACACGAAAACTGATCCACCTGCCACGTTGCGGTGTGGGCGACAGCAACCGCACTGCCAATTTCTCGCCAGATAATCTCGAATACGGACATCATCGTATGAAGCGTTATGTGTTGCAGGGACCGAAATGGGATAAAACGGATTTAACATGGAGGTGAGTCAGAGCCATTCGAGTCTATGAATAAAAATTGTGCCAGCTAATCTTGCTGGCAGTTGTAAATAACAATATCTTTCTATGCATATATGTATATATTGTATGTATGTATTTGCATACACTTATCTATAGACAACTTATTATATTATGTGCGCCTAAAAGCATACTGCATTTTATTACCAACGAAGGGCGGCGATGTCCGCGAATGCTGCATGTCTAGCGCGTTGAGTGTTTAATGAAACGTGACAGGGTGAGCGCGCAATTAAAATTTGCAACAAATTGCAATTAATGTGCTCCCGTTTCAATTTCTCGCCATTTAATGTAAGGTCCGAGGCGCTTGTGAAGAGCAATTATTAATTTCTTCGCGTCATGAAGCTGATGTACCAACGTTGTGTTGTAACTATGGATTTCCGCTACATAAGTTTAAAGTTAGCAACAAGCTCTTTTGCTTTATATGTGTGTATGTATGTACATATGCATTTATGTATGTATATGCGTCTATGTATAATATAATTTTTATATGGATAACAACTTTTACTATTTTTTTTGTTTCAACAGTTTCTCTGTTAATTGTACACCCGATCTCCCCAGTGGCAAGCAACTAAGACTTTTGTCGACTCGGTCACGCCTTACGCTTTCCAACCCGCTGGCGCCAAAGATATCCTTCGAATGCACGCGCACTTCAGTCTTTTTATGCATCTTTCAATTAATTCAAATGTCAAACTGAGCGTGTCATGTTAAGTTTTATTTTTATTACATAATTTTGTGAATATCTCAAAATTTATTTGTGCGAGATTTTCGCCAGCTGCTTGCAGAGTAGCACTGCGAGCGTTTGTTGGTCTCTCGTCGTTTGCAATGTTTTGTGCATAATTTGTGCGGGTTGCGAATTCTTTAGTAACAATAAGTGCGTTTTTATGCAAAATAACAGTGAAAGTTTTCACACCCTCCCCGACTTGTGCAATGCAAGCCACCCCATTTTGCAAGCGCACTTTTTATAGCTGGTTCTATCCTTCATCAGTCCCAAAATTGTACATAATTTTAGTTTTGCTTATTTTCAATTTGTTCTTTTTTCCATTTTTGAGAAATGCTAACTTCATTTAAAATAAGCAAATAAGCACTTACCACCCTCCCCGCCCACTTTTGTTCAGAAATTTCTTTGAAAATTTAAATTTAGTAGGAAATTTTGCTCGCCGAGCAGCGTGGCGAATGTGCAAGTATTTATGTATGTATGTATGTACATACAAACTGATACATATGTATTGCCGCCCACTCATCAGCATTTCAAAGTTCATTTAACATTTCGCGCCAAATTGAATTTCATGTTTTGTCAGGAGTTTCGACTTTGCCGATGAGAGTGTTAATTCCGCTGCTGCAAAGTTGACTTTTATTTTTCAATCATTCAAGTTACATTTTGAAAAAATAAAAGTTATGAGCGTTCAACGAATTCATAATTGTTCCAGAGAATTTAATATTTCAAAACCATCGAAAAAAGCTTCCAAGCTAGAGGTGATTAATACATCCATTGATATGAATCAATTTAATAAATTAACGACGACTTTCTTCATATTTCTCAAGAAATCTACATATTTTTATTATTTTCTTGGATGATTTTTTGCATGGTAGAACTTAACTTCAACAAATACCAAATTAATAACTTGTTTCTCTGGAAGTGGGTCAGAGTAGCAGTATCGTTTGGAAACAGGTTGCTACGGTTCAGGAAAATTTTTCATTGCTGACATTCTAATTCCAAGACACTTTTTAGCTGAATTAAATTTGCATGATGATCTTGGGATAGCAGACGAAAATAATCTTCAAAGTTAGTGTCACACATAAGGAAAAAATGAAGACGACGTGGAAGAAGTTCCTCGTCAGTTTGATTGTATTTTAATATACGGTGGCAAAAAAGCAATAGATGAGCTTGTAGGCCTCTCCCTATTTCACTCATGTCACAACACTATCCGGTCGAACCCAACAACGTGGTGTTCGTACTCAGTGAAACAATATTTTTTAAAGGGGGCAAGTTTCTACGCTACTTTTAGAAATACGTTCCAGTGAACGTTCTGCCACGGAGTCCCCAGAAAGGATATAAATTATGCATTTCCATTTGTTGAATCTGCTCTGGATATTAACTCAAGGTCAAATATAAATCAACTACTGATTGAGTCGGTTAATTCTCCTTATCGCCTTGGGATGCCAATTGGAAGCGCCATTGCTAGCGGTTCATGGAAAGTTTGGTCTTTGTTTGTCAACTGCCAGCTCAGTCAGTCAAAGTGACACCTCTTGGTATGAGTGATCCTGAGTTGCGTTCCAAGCTGTGACCGACAGTAACATCACTGCTGTCGAGTGGCGCATAGGAACACTGTTTGTTTGATGAAAGGAGATATTTCGTCTTGCCTTATCCACTATGAATAAAGCAGAGTTAATGGCGTCGTCATCAAAGCCACTGGCGTACCCTAACAACTGCGTACTCTAATGAAAGGCTGTACCCTTTCAATGCAGCTCTGCAGCACTCAGTTTGTCGGAAAACTTGTTTGATATCGAATGGCTCTGAGAGGCTCTTGCATGCAAAGTATGCACTTGTCTTGAAACCTTCTGTGCGTCGCTGCACCTTTTCGTAGAATTTTCGAGCGTAATCCCTGTCGGACATCTTTTCAAATTCGTCATAGTCATGCATTTGGACCACTTTCTTTATCTGCGTAATTGTTTTCCACTTAACAATCGCTTTATATCCAGGAAGCGCTTCTGAAATAAGTTGAATTCCTAAAGTGCAATATAAATATTTGCTTTCCTTTTGAGGCAACATCAACATAATTCTGCATTTCGTTCAGTATTTCACATATTGATCTAGTAAAAAGGAATCCATTATTAAATCGAAGACTTTAAAATTATCCGATTTATGTCAAATATGCACCGTTGGCTTGAAACCATTGTTCGCATTAGCAAACAATTGGGACAATCGATTTTAGCAGACTTCTCTTGAGGACTTTTCTTCACCACCCAAATCATTGGCCATAGACCGGAACAGTGGATGCGTCAGAACATGACAATCCAGCTCTCGGAGCTTATGGTGAACCACTATCGTTGTGTCTTATCTGGGCGTTTGCTGAAAGTACATGCCCTAATTAAGAGCTTGTCCGTATGGGAAGAACTCATAGTGGATGACTCTTTTGAAACCCCACCAAACGCACAGGAAAACCTTGCTGGCTTGGAGGTCGATTGTGCCTGATCGTGAGTTCAGTTGAGTTGATGCGGCTGCTGGTGGCTGCCAGCACACTTAGGCTAATAGGCCCATTGTGTTACCGTTAAGGCTTCTGTCTTCAACTTTTGTCGCGCAGATGTCAAGACTGACTGTTGGCAGAAATAGTTCTCATTGCTCTTGTCCTCTTCTTCGTCCCTACAGCTGCGGCATAAATCATTAGAGTCAAAGCCCATTCTTTTCCCGTGAAGCCCCATTAAATTATGCCAGTCGCTACGTTTATGAAGAACCGGTCTAGAAGGATAAGATGTTATGACTTTTTCGCGTAGATTACGCTGGAGAGGCCTGGTAGTCTCGAGCTCATGTTCAATGAGAGCACGGGAGAATAAATTCCGCAACCCACCCTACCATCAAGCTTTGAGCCGTCTATGAAGATGGCTATTGCTCGCAGGTCGGGGCCTGGCTGTTTTCCCACCCCCATCTGTTTGGGATTCCTTGATCTTTTTGCAGTGCTTCGGCTTCGGTAGAGAGGATGATCTTCACGTCCTTTAGTTTAGGTGGTTTAAAGGCTTGTGGTTTGTACCTTCTGGTAAATAAAACTGTTTCGGTTTTATCAGGGTTCACATTCAGCCCGCTATCTCTGAACCATCTCTCAATAGAAAGGGCATTTTGGAGTAGATCGCTTGATGTTTGTCGCTGTCAGGGCAAAGTCGTCACTGTATGCCACAACACCACAACCTGTGTTTTGCAGTTTCCTTATCAGCGTGTTCGCTGTTAACATCTTAGCAGTAACCTGCTTTAGAGATGCCTCTTGTTGTGGGTCTAGTGACGCTGGCGTTCTGTTTGCGAAGATGATCCTGTTTTTCAGAGGACACTGTACGAGTTTCACTGTGGGTTTAGTTTCTGGATATAATTTGGGATTACGTTTCTCCTTCTGATTCGATGATGAGTCAAGCTCAACTAGAGAAACAGACCTTGTGCTTTATGTCCCCGCTTCATCTGGTCTTAACGGTGTGTCCTAAAAGTAACCGAACTTTATATTTAAATCATACAACATACAGCGTCATCTATTGAAAATTTGCAGCATTAAAAAGACACATTCATCCTCTTTCAAACGCATCTAACATCATGTAAGTCGGATGACAGATGTAAAAGTGACAGCCAATTTAATAAAACCAAAAGTGTGCTAACGGTTCAAAAATAAAATGGAACAAAGAGCAAATATAAAATTTTGTGTCAAACTTTGATTGTATGAGTTGTACGCAAGTTTATACGTGGTTTACACGATTTAAAAATGGTGGTGAGGGTTTAAATGACGACCCTAGAGCAGGACGCCCAGAAACCAGTAATCGTGCAGACTGGTGGAAAAAGTCCGTGAAATCATTGGTATCGATGCAAATTTTACTACGAGAATGTTGGCTGAGGAATTGAATACGAGTAAAAACACTATTTGGAGAATTTTAACTGAAGATTTGGGGAGAAGAAAGGTCTGTGCGCGATTTGTTCCACATGAATTAAATGACGACCAAAAAATCACTCGAATTTTTAATGAAAAAAGGAATTTCTCTCATCGACCATCCTCCGTATTCGCCTGATCTATCACCATGTGACTATTTTTTTATATTTTATTTCCAAAACTGAAAACCAAGATGAAGGGAGCATTTTATGATGATATCCCAGCCATTCAAGCAGCCGTCCGAGGTACTGAAGAAGATTTCTATAAATGACATAAAAAAATCTATGCATGCGCTGGTTGATCGTTCCAAACGTTGTGTTGAATAAATAATAACTTTCAAAGATAATA